CTGTGGTGCAGCAAATTAAGTTGCCACCTGCAGTGACAGTTCAAGTCCCCACTCCTCCACTTCTTTTTTTTTTTTTTTTAAGATTTATTTATTTATTTGAAAGTTACACACAGAGAGAGAGGTCTTCCATCCTCTGGTTCACTCCCCAATTGGCTGCAACAGCCGGAGCTGTGCCGATCCGACGCCAGGAGCCAGGAGCTTCCTCTGGGTTTCCCAAGGACTTGGGCCATCTTCTACTGCTTTCCCAGGCCATAGCAGAGAGCTGGATTGGAAGAGGAGCAGCCGGGACTCAATCTGGCGCCCATATGGGATGCTGGCACCACAGGCAGCGGCTTTACCGGCTACGCCTCAGTGCAGTGCTGCCACCTCCCCTCCATTTCTGATCCATTTCTGATCCAGCTCCCTGCTAATGCATCTGGAAAAGCTGCCGAAGATGGCCCAAGTGCTTGGGCCCCTGCACCCTTGTGGGAGGCCCAGATGAAGCTCCTGGCTTTGGCCTGCCTGGCGCAGCCCTGGCTGTTGCAGCCATCTGGGGAGTGAATCAGCAGATAGAAGACTTCTGTCTGTCTGCTTCTCCCTCTCTATCTCTGCCTTTCAAATAAGCGAATCTTTTAAAAATTGTTTTTGAGTTAGACTTTTATTTTTTTTTATCTTGAAGACACAGACCATAAAGGTTGGCAGAAACAGCAGATGTTACATCGAGTTTTTATTTTTCAAGATAGAAAACACTTGAAGGACTCAGTGTAAAGGAAGCAAGAGTCACTTCCAGTCTCCAGATCCAGATGCCTGCTGGGCAAGGACAGTAAAATAACTTGTCCAAAGTTGACTGCATCAGACACTGACAGACCTCATAAAGCACAGCTCTTCACCCACGCTGGACTGGGCTCTGCCCTCCAAGGATGGGCATGGGTCTTCGGGGGACTAGGGCGGGAGACCCAGGGCCAGGGGAGAGGACGCGGGAAGCTGCCTCTGCCTGGCCCCAGCTGCGGCCCCTCGCTGGGGGCGCCGGTGTCCCAGCAGGCGAAATCCTTTCGGGCCCGGGTCTTCTGCCTCCGCTTTCCCGCCGAGCCCGACTCTTCGTGGGCACCCGCGATCGCCGCCAGGGGGCGCGCCTTGCCCGGTCGGCCGCGGGTCGTAGAGCTGAGATTCCCGGCGACAGCGAACGCTCCTAGACCACTAGCCCCTTCCAGGCACACAGCCCTCCGACCCAGGGCTAGGCTTGGGCATTTCCCACCCAGCCGCAGGCCCTCGCTCTCCACGCTCTGCCTTACGGTCGACGCCCTCGCCCCTCTCAGTGCACCCGAACGCGGGGGAGAGAGCAGGGCCCCGGCGCGGGCGGGACTCCTCCGCCGCGATCTGCACCCCAGCCTCATCGGAGCGGTTGCCTCAATGCGCCCCCCAGCCTCTGGTCCTTGGGCGTCCTTCCTCACCCAGCCCCCCTCCCCTTCCTCCCCTGTGGCGGCCGCAGCTCCGGCCCGGAGCCGCTTCACTGCTGCCTCCAGCCTTCCTTTTCCCTGTACCCACTAGGCTGGGGGAGAGAGCCCCGCGCGGCTTCCTGCATCCAGGGGCCCTTTCCACTAACCGGCCATCTCCCCCCACCCAAGCCTGCGTCCCCGGAGGACGCCCCAGGACCAGGGGCGGGGCACTGAGGCGCAGGCACAAGTGTGCGGGGGCGGGAGGGGGCCTGTCTGCCTCTTGTTCTTGGGGGAGGGCAGCCTTCCGGAGCGCCCCCTACGCCTGCGTATCCCCCAGGTCGTGTTTGCCGCCGTGTAGCCCCTCTCTCCTTAGCCGCTAGACCCCACGCGGCTGACTGCTTCTGCTCCAGTCCCCCGTTGCTGGGTCCCCACTGCCCACCCCTGACGTCATCAGAGCGGGCTGGGGGGCGGGGCAAAGACCCCATCACCTAGGTGGCGCAGGCTGAGGGGACGGCTGTTCCTCCTGGCCCAAACCGGAAAGTGTCCCCAGGCTTGGGTTTCAAAGCCCTTTGACTCTAAACGGGTGACTTTCTACATGTCAAGGAACTTCGGGAATCCTATTGATACCATTTGTCCCCTCTCAAGACCCCTTACTTTATCCTCTCATCTCTAAACCCTGCACCCGCCTGCCTGCCCCTAGTTGTCCATTCCATTCCGTGCATCTTGTTTTTATGTATTCTTGGGGAAAAAAAAAAAAAAAGGAAGTGTCTTGTTTTTCTGGCGTGCATTTTAAGTTCCTACGAAAGGAGTTATGTCGCTTCTTTTTGCTCAATTCTCAGCTTCTAAGACCGGTCACTTCTGACTGCTGCTTCCTCTCCCTGGAGCCCGTGGTGCAGGTCTCACCCTTCCCATCCCCTGGCCCCTCTGATAGGTGACAGGTCTGGCCTGACACCAGCATCCTGGGAATCTTGTTAAAGGGCTGAGTGACTCAGCAGGTGTGGGGCAGGGCCCGAGGGTCCACATCTCACAGCAGCTCCCAGGAGATGCCTTTGTACTGCTGGTCCTAGGACAGCTGGGGGAGCAAGGCCCTCACAGCGCTCAGAAGACGTCACCGTGGCGTGCCTGGTCCTTTGATAAATATTGCCAGTCTGCTGTCCAGTCTGGCACCAGCTTATGCAATAGCAGCAGGGCAGGAGGGAGGAAGGCCTTCTCATTGCTCCTGCCCTCAGCCTGCCCCACCCCCACCCTTCCCAGTGCATCTGGTCCGGGCCAATATCTCTCCTCTCGGCCTTAACTGGGATGGCCCTGAGCCTGCGCGGTGCTGTCCTAGCCAGGAATGCACAGTGACGGCAGTGATGTGTCCAGGCCAGGCTTCCCGGTCTCCAGTCCCGCCACCTCTCGGACAGGAGCCCTTGAGAGCAGGCACTGAGAAGCTGCGGGATTTCAGAGTGCTCATCCCTTTTCCCTCGAATGGCCTGCGAGGGTGCACTAGGATTCAGGTGGCCTGGCAGGTGGCTATCCTGAGCCTGGCTTCTCTTCGTCACAGCATGGTCTAACATATGGATATAGGGCCCAGACCAGGTGCTTCCCTGCATGCCACAAGCCCCGCAGGGGCCCTAGAATAGGTGTTCTTGCCTTCGTTTTACCCACGAGGAAAATGAAGTTCAGGAAAGTTTAGCAACGGTGGTCAAGATCACAGAGCTTGGAGAGTGACCACGTCAGGGGGCGGCCACTCGGTGCAACGGTTAAGGCGTCACTGGGGACGCTTGCATCCCATATTGGAACGCCTGTGTTGGAATCCCAGCTCTGCTCCCAATTCCACCTTCCTGCTAATGTATGCCTGGGAGGCAGAGGTAATGGCCCACGTAGCTGGGTCCCTGTCTCCCGTGTGGGAGACCTGGATGGAGTTCCCAGCTACTGGCTCCAGCTGTGAGCCAATGGATGGCTCTCTTTCTTTCTTTCTCTCTCTCTCTGCCTTTCAAAAAAAATAATAAATGATAATAATAAAGAAATTAATGAAATAATGAAAGTAATAAAATAAAGCCACTATTTTGGGTTTAAACCCAGCCTCAGCTAATACACCAAAGTCCCCGCTCGGAAGCCCAGCTATACCGCCTGCATGTCCTACCTTGTCCTCATTCAGCAGGCCACATTTCAGGGAAATTTGCAAAGAAACAAGGAGGAAGGGCTGGTTCTTGAGTTTCAGGCACTAATGCTGGAGACATGTAACCGCTGGCACGCAGGGTTATGAAACTCTAGTGAGTGGATTCTGGCAGAAATGAGCCAGGATTCCAAGGCTTGCCCCTAGGGCTTGAGAATTTAGCCAGCAAAAGAGCAGGGCTTTGAGACTAGAGATTCGGGGGCACAGAGTCGGGGTTCGGGACTAGGCAGGAGTTGGGGAAGGTCGGGAGTGGAATGAGGGTCTGGCGGGTGGTCTGGGCTGTCGGTGAAATTGTCTATCCTGTACCTTGGTTTTGTCTAGAGGAGTCAGCAGCCTGTGTCCATGCCTCAAGGCCCTTGTGAAGGTGCTGTGGGCAGCTCGCTGGGTCAGCTTGGGAGACTCCCCGCACAGTGCTTTCCCCACTCGCTCAGCTGTGCAAGCATCACCTGGCACCAAGCCCCAGGCCCAGGCATTCCACAATCAGAAGGGTTCAACATCTGCAGGCGTGTACATCTGTTCCACACCTTCCAGCCTCTGTGTGCCATTTCAGGGCCAGAATCCTGCCCCCTGAAAACCTAGGGAACCATCCTCCTCCTTCCACGGCCTTTGGGAAAGGCCAACATGCTCTTAGAGCTGAAAACATGGTGCAGCTGTTTGGTCCTTACCAAGCTCTTCACAAGTAGCTGCTGCCTCCATTCAACAACCTCGTGACAGAGCTGGGACCCACTTGGCACTGGGGCTCCAAACAATCGACCAAAGCTGCACGCGGGGCGGCTGGGAGAAACAGGATGCTTGTTTTTCTATATCACGCCGTGGAGCTCTTGGAAAGTAGGTAGGTCTCTCTCTGAGAATCTTACTGCTCTGATGGGCCCACCTCCCAGACTTGGGGTTGTGCACTGAGGCTGGAGGCAGGAAGGAATCGGGACAGGGGGTATGCTTGGGCAGAGAGGCCTGGGCGTTGAGCGAGGTAAGGTCTCACCCAGCTCTTAGCCAAGCCCTCTTCCGGCTGGTTTCCTTCAGCAGGGCTCTTCTAGGAGCCTGCTGGTCTCCTGGAGGTGGAAAGAGGGGATCAGTGGGACAAATGACAAGCCCGGGGTGCCCAGGTAGCTGAGCGACTAGGACAAAGTGGTGCTGCCAGTTGCAAAAGAGGTCCCAGTGGTGTCACCTCACCCAACATGGGTGCTCTCGGTGGCTTAGCCAAGCTCTGCCCCTGCCAAGCCATCTGTCTTGTCCCCTTTGGCCCTCACACCGGGTACCTGCAGCATCGGATTGAGGATGGTGCCCAAAGATGAGGTGCCCCGGCCCACACTAGGGACTGGGGGGGCCCGGGGCCTGCCGTGGCAGGAAGGCCCTGGTCCCACTGCTCTCCCCGACCCCGGGGACTCAGGCCGTGGGCCAGGGCTCAACAAACACAGGCAGCAGGATGGGGTTGCCCTTCTATTGGTCTAAGTCCTGAGCGTAGCCTGGGTGGGTCATGGAGGTGATGAGGCCCACGAGGCTCAGCAGCGTGGAGAAAAGCAGCAGGAAAGAGGCCGTGAAGAGTAGGGCGGGCAGGGCACTGAGCACCAGCAAGAGGATGGCCGGCAGCAGGTGGCTCCACACTGCGGCCACGACGGGCCACAGGGAGCCCAGCAGGTGGGAGCCGGTGGTGAACAGTGCGTGGCATAGCATCAGTGCCAACAGCAGGTAGAGTATGCCCTCCAGACCCCACAGCACACGCTGCAGGGGCTGCCGCCAGCCAGATGTGGACCACCACTGGGCCCAGCTCCGGGGCACGTGGCATGCCCACCAGCGCACCCAGCCCTGCCGGGTGACCCAGGCCGACCAGGGCACCGCCGGCTGCGGTCCCTCGCCGGCCCCGATGGTGTCTGTTTCCACTCGCGGCGGCTGCATCATGGCTGGTGCACCTGCAGGAAGGAGCAGCCCTGGAGCCTCAGCGCAGGCTGGGGTGCAGGTGCACCAGGGTGGTGGGCTGGGGCTCTGAGCTGGGGGCTGGGACTTACCTCTGGGCAGAGCCTCCTAAGTCATGTTGTTTGCTGCTGCTACACCCAGGACGACCTGGCAGCCAGACCCGAGCCCCCGCTCTCACCCATCCCCTCCCTCCCCAGAGAAGCCCCATTGTGACCCGGGCTGGGGTGGGGTCCCACCAAGAGAAGAGTCACTGCAAGGTGTGAGGCTCACTTGAGTCCCTCTCCATGGACCCTCCAGGCTGGCAGGGAAGTCTGATGGGCACCGCAGGTGTAGCTTCTTGGACTTCCTCATGGGAAGCCCCACCCCTGCCCGACTCCCTCTCCCTTTCCTGCTGGCTAACACCCAGCACCTCTCCCCCTCCCCAGCCTCCTTTTAGTCTTTCTCTCTGAACCCTCATTCTCTAGAAACACAGTGGAGGCCAGAATGGCTGCTCCCAGCCCATACACCCTGAGATGGCCTCCACACCCTGCCCTGGGCTCCCTCTCTCGGACCCCACCGCCTCCAGCAGCCCCAAGACTCAGACCCAAGGTAGCCACTACCTAGGGTAGGAGGCCGCAGGTCCTTGAGGTTGAGGCTGGGAATAAGGAAGTCTTCTCGCCCTGCCCCACCTGCTCTCCAGCCCAGGATGGAGGCGAGGAGGCCTGAGGAGGCAGGATGGACACTGTATTTTGGGAGGGCACTCAGGCCCAAGGATGGAGGCAGAAAGCCAGGCCCAGCAAGGCCAAGGGCAGACCATGAGCTCCCAAGAGCAGCCCCAGCCCCATGAGCAGCAGGAGCAGTGCATTCTGGGGGCTGAGCTGTGCAGGGGTTGGCCCCATGGGGCAGAGGTGAGACTCCTGCTGCCCTGGGCCCTCACCTGCCCCCTGATTCTGGCCCCTGCTGAGACGTCTGTGCTGTGGCAGGGAGCGGCTTGCAGGCCTGTGGAGAGAGAGGGTGGCAACTCAGAGAGGTCAGCCGGCCCCTGGCCTGCCTGCCTGCCTGCCCACTCCTGCCAGGGCTGCTGCCCCCTTACCTGTGGAGCAGGTCAAAGGCCAGGAAGCAGAGGAGCAGCAGCAGCAGCAGGGCCAGGCCGGCCATGGAAAAGATTGCACGAATTGTCAGCCCCAGCGCCCCCAGCCCTAGGGCACTGTCCAGGAGCCGGGCCTGGCTAGGGTCCCAGGAGGACACATGTGCACGCGCTGCACCACTGGGCCCCTCCCCAGCACCCAGGCCTCTGGGAGAGACAGGGGGTGGAGCTGGGAGGGCTTTGGGCCTGGGTAGGCAGAGCTGGGTCATGGAGGGTGATGGAGGGGATGGGAAGGAGGAGGGTAGAGGGGGTGGGAGGGGGTGGGGCCCTGGCAGACACTCAAGGGTGAGCTCAGAGAGTGGGGAGCTGAGCTCCTCAGGAATCTCTCCCTCCCCACACACCCACCCACCAAGTCCTGCGCAGCTCCTCCCACTTCGCCCCCCATTCTGCGGACTGCACAGCTGGGCCATTGTGACCTGTCGCCAGGTGGGCCCCGGGCCCAGGGAAAGGGCCACTGGGGTTCCGGCTTCCTCAGCAGCTGGCGGGCTCGTGGGGCTGAGCCAGGGAGTCAGCCATTCCTGAGAATAAGGCTCCCCTCGTGCCCTCCCACGAGTGGGCAGGGCCGTGTCAGGGCGGGGCGTCTGTCCGAGGGAGGAAGGGCTGCCTTCTCCCTGCATGATCCTAGAGCTGTCCTAGAGCTGTGTGGTCAGGGCAAGGCAAGCGCTGTGTCCCCAGTTCCCTGCCTGAGAGCGGGGCGGGGCCTGTGGGGGGATTTTTCAGGACTGCAACCCTGGAATGCAGAGACAGGCTCTGCCGGGAAGCAACCCGGCGCTGGGCTCCCGCCTGACTTCCTTGGTGTGGGGGCAGGAAGGACTGGCAGTACTCTAGTCTGTGGGAGGCGTTACGGATGCTGGAGTTCCAGAAGTGGGGTAGAGGATGTGAACCTTAGAGGGCTATGACATAGTAACCCCAAATTGGAAATTAAGGGTATCCCATGCAAGGGACTGGCTATGGTTTTTGAGTCCTGGAGGTTTGGTCTTTAGGGTGTGGCAGTATTGGGAAGTGGTGGCACCCTCAAGAGGTGGGGCCTTGGGCTGGATATTTGGCACAGAGGTGGTTAGGACTCCGCGTGGGACTCCCGCATCCCACATTGGAGAGCCTGCATTTGAGTCCCAGCTACTCTGCTTCTGGTTCAGCATCCTGCTAGTGCATCCTGGGAGGCAGCCGATGGTGCTGTAGTACTTGGGTCCCTGCCTCCCATGTGGGAGACCCACACTGAGTTCCAGGCTCCTGACTTCAACCCGGCCCAGCCCTGGTCGTTGTAGGCATTTGGAGTGAGTCAATAACTGGATGATCTTTGTCTGTTGCTGTCTTTCAAATAAAATGAAAATATATATATATATATATATATATATATATATTTTAAAAGAAGTAAGGCCCTTAGGCCACTGGGGACACTGCTATCCCAGGGGAAAATGGTCTCTTGGAGTGAGTGCTCTGGGAGCAATGTCTACACAGCCTGAGCCCAAGCCCAAGCCCCTGGCTCCCTGTTTTGAGATGTGTTTGCTTCCTCCTGCAAGTGCACTGTCATCTGCTGTGGGGCCCTCACCAGAGCCTTCACCAGGCTATGTGGATTTGTAGCCTCCAAAACTGTGAGCTAAATAAACTTCTTCATAGCTAGCCTGCCCCGGGTATTCCATTACAGCAAGGGAAAACCGATGAACACCGCTGGGACTGAAGCTAAGGGAAATGAGCGTGGAATGCAGGCTGGGTCACTGGGGGGGGGGGGGGGGAATGCGTCCCCACGGGGAATCTGTAAGAGGGTGGTGGCTGCAGAGCTTCCAGCACATCTCAGCAGTGACGTGTGAGCCAAGAGAGGGACTGAGTCACAATTCACAGAACTGCATCTTTGTCCTCACGTCAGACTTGGAAGGAAACTGCGGGGGGCGGGGGCTTGACGGTCCGCAGAGCCAGTGCTGCCAGCCCTTGGAACTATTTGCTGACTGCGCCTGCCCTGGTCTTCTCTCCTATCCAGCAACAGGACTTCTGGCACAGATTAGCCCCTAGGGGAAAGGCTGTAACAGAGGAGCCCAGGTTTTTTTTTTTTTTTTTTTTTTTCCCATAAGTTCCAATGAGCTTTGTAAATGAGCATGAAGGTTTGAGATGTGCCAGTCCCCTGAGCCTGCTCAATCCCGGATGTACCCACAGGACTGCACCCTTGGACTTATGGGACTGAGGGCCAGTCACATCCTGCTGAGGCCAGCAAGAGGCTCCCCAGCGTGGCAAGCAGTGGAGGATGCAGATGAGCACAACTCCTTAAGGATTTATTATGTGACAGACACTCTGCATCCGTTCATAGGAGAGCTCTCTGATTTTCATTCAACAATCATTCACTCAGGGTTTCCTGTGTGCCAGGCACTGTGCCTGATTCCTGAAAACAGAGCCCAGGGTGGGAATTCCTGTGCACATTATTCACAGAGGGAAAGCTTCCAGGGAAGCGAGGGAAGGGAGGCAGGACGGGGCCGGGAGCCAAGCTAGCATGTGATGTTAGCTGGAGTCTGGCCTCAGCCTGACCCCAGAGGTGGCTGCGGAAGGCGCATCATACCCATGCTGGGGTGGGAGAGGATGGCCGTGAGGTGCAGCCTACTGCGTGAGGCAGCTGCTGTCCACCGAGGGCACTGGTCTGCGGATGAGAGCAGACAGTTGCAACCTCTGAGCCGTGGATGTTCCCAACATCCACCAGTCCATGCAGGGGGAACCCTGGAGGGGCAATAACAGTGTAGACTCTGGCAGGTGCTGGGTGGTGAAGAAGTAACTTGGCAAGTCTGGGCTGGCTGAAGCCTGTACATTCAAAAGAACGTAGGATCCCGGGAGCTAACCTCTAAGTCCTTGAAAGATTTTGCTAACAGAAGTGTCCTTGTTTCCCTAAGGGTCAAGGGCCACAGCTTTTTGTCTATACAAACAAAAATGGTTGGCGCTGGAGGCCTTGGACCGTGCAGTATTTTCTTGATCTCCAGAGGGGCTGGACCACACGGCTGATACCCACTGGAAACCCCAGACACCACGGCTCCTGTTGAGCGCTCCTTGCTGGCCGTACTGTGTGTGTTGTCACCCGTTACGCTGGGCTGATGAAGGGTCATCCACACAACTCCACCTCCTGGGGACAACCAGAAGCTTGTTCCTGGTGCCTCCCAGACTCTGCCCTATGCCCCTCGTCCCACGGATTTTTTTTTTTTTTTTTGGGACAGGCAGAGTTAGACAGTGAGAGAGAGAGAGAGAGAGAGAGAGACAGAGAGAAAGGTCTTCCTTCTGTTGGTTCACCCCCCCAAATTGCCGCTACAGCCGGCACGCTGCGCCGATCCGAAGCCAGGAGCCAATGCTTCCTCCTGGTCTCCCATGCGGGTGCAGGGCCCAAGCACTTGGGCCATCCTCCACTGCCTTCCATGGATGGTTTTAATCTGGAGCGCTTTTCTGCAATGAACATTCTATATAACCATTTTGCTGAGTTCTGTGAGTTCTTCTAGTGACCACTGAACTTGACCACTGAACTTGAGAGTAGTCTTGGGGGACCAGCACTTGGGGTTCACTTGAATAACCCAGACTCACTAAGGCATGGTGAAAGCATGGTTTGAGAAAGAGGGGCTGAGAGGGTAGGGTAAGCTTTGACTGCCGGACAGCCATGTGGTCACCCACGGTATGGAACTGCCTGCCCTGTCCAGTCACTGAAGGTGAAAGTGGCCAACAGAACTTATCAGTGAAGGAGTACTCTACCAGGCTCCATGGGCATGATAAGGCCAACCTAGAACTCTACACCTGCTCAAATGATGAACAGCTGTGAAGGTGGAATAACGACACTTTTCAGCCACACAGGGTCTCGAAAATTTGACCTTGCAAATTCCCCTGTCTGAGGATCTGCTTCAGCGAAAGAATTTACTAAGAAAGAAGACAACGGAGCATTCAAGAAATGCGAGTAAACACAGGAAAGGGATGAGGAGAAAGGCCTGAGATGCCAGCCGGGTCCTCCCCACCCACCTCCTCCCTGGAAAGCAAGCAATCAGCCTAGCTGGAACCAGAAGTCGAGTACTCCAGCAGAAATTAAATTGCTTAATGATCGGCTATGTTTAGATATATTTGAAATAAATATTCATTTCCGTTGGAATCTTTGGATTGAATTAGCGATTAGTGCTTAGAAAACCAAACATTTGATAAAACAAAGTAAGTGCTTATGCTTGGGGGCACAAAACGTTCAACAGTAATATCTGTGTAGTCATAATGAAAGCACCAACTGTTTACTCCAAGTGGCGATTGAACCTCACTGGGAGGATGGTAGAGGGGACGTATTTGCACATCTCTCTCTGTGTGTAAGGGAGGTGGAGAGAGATGTAGGAAGGCTAGATCCTTCATTCCATAGCAAGGAATCCACATACAACATCTAAACTTAGAAAAATCTAGAAATAGCAATAGAAGCATAGAGATAAACACAGAGAAATAGCAAAAAAAAAGACTACAAGTGACTTGAGGACGCAGAGGCATAGAAAAATGTCTTCCATTACAAGCCTAAATATGAGTTCCCTTTTAAAAAAATATTTGATTTATTTATTTAAGAGGTAGAGTTACAGGCAGGAGAAAGGTCTTCCATCCACTAGTTCACTCCCCAAGTGGCCACAACGGCCTGAACTGGGCCAATCCTAAGTCAGGAGCCAGGAGCTTCTTCAGGGTCTTCCACAACATAGGTGCAGGGGCCCAACACTTGAGCCATGTTCTACTGCTTTCCCAGGCCATAGCACAGAGCTAGACCCAAAGAGGAGGAGCCCAGACATGAACCAGTGCCCATACAGGATGCCGGCACTGCAGGTGGAGGCTTAACCTACTATGCCACAGCACCAGCATCTATGAATTAACTTTAAAACCATGTTATGTAGTATTCTCATAGGAATGCTTTAGCTAAAAAAGCAAATAAATAATATAGGGTTGTGTTGTGGAGAACAGAAATACACCCTGCCAGGAGGAATGAAAGACCAATTTCCTAATGTTCTGTGGGGGCACTCTTGTGACCTAAGACACATTTCCAGCAACTCACATTGTTGTGCAGTGGGCTGAGCTGCTGCCTGTGATGCCAGCATCCCATACGGATGCCAGTTCAAACCCTGGCTGCCCCACTTCTGATCCAGCTCCCTGCTGGTGCACCTGGGAAAGCAGCAGAGGATGGCCCAAGCGCTTGAGCCCCTGTCACCCACATGAGAGACCCAAATGGAGTTCTAGGCTCCTGAATTCAGCCTCCCTCGTCATTATGCTCACTTGGGGTGTGAACCAGCGATGGAAGATCTGTCTGTCTCTCCCTACCTCTCTGTAACTCTGCCTTTCAAATAATTTTTTAATATTCAAAAAAAAGGGACAC